CGGGGAAATGGCTCAGTGGAAGAAGTGCTCCCCTGGCAAGTGCAAGGGCCTGAGTTCAATCCCTGGTTCCGCAAAAAAAAAAAAAAAAAAAAAAATCCCTCCTTGTCCTTTTTCTTTAGTATTTTTCTTTTGGGACCAGAAGTTCCTCAAAGACATACAAAAGGTTCCAGCAATGCCTTATTCTTAAGACAAACAAGTAAATAAGTGATTGTATCTAAGATCATCCCAGGTAGTAATAGTGATTTTTGGTTCCTCATGTCTGGTTTCTCAGTTTGAGTTTGCCTATTGAGTTACCAGTGGCCCCTTGAAGAAGCTCATGTGCCCTTCTATTTACTGAATGTCCTAAGTCCTTGTGATAGCAGGTACTAGCTACTGTAGCCAGTGCTGCCTCCTTTTGCGTCTCTCTGCTTCCCACCCTGTCTTCTCCCACGGACTGGGTTAGTTTATGCTCCTCCTTGATTGTGTCAGTTGTTCTAGATGAGACACAAATACAGCTCCTGAATGCCTGCCCCTCACAAGCCTGACAAGTACTTTGCCTTTGCCTCATCTCTGTGCAGGACATGCAGGTGACTGGAGTGGAGGATGACAGCCGTGCCCTGAACATCACTATCCACAAGCCCGCATCCAGCCCCCATTCCAAGCCCTTCCCCATTCTCCAGGCCACCTTTGTCTTCTCAGACCATATCCGCTGCATCATTGCCAAGCAGCGCCTGGCCAAGGGTCGCATCCAGGCGAGGCGCATGAAGATGCAGAGGATAGCTGGTGAGTGTTTGGCATGGAGAGGTGCCCCTGGGGACTCGGGGTAGGAGCAGTCACAGGCTGTCAGCATGCTTTTTACTGACCTGGAGAAGCCCCTTGTCTTGTCTAGAACACACCAGTGGCTTAAGATTCATGGTGATTTGTGCAGGAATGGAGAACTGTCCAGGATCTTCCTGCCTCCTAAGTACTCAGTTTATGGAGCTGCGTGAAAGAGAAGGAGAGCCCTCACTGGTAGGCAAGAGGACAGGAAGCACCTGGCAGAGGAGGACAGCTGCTCTCCCACCTCCATGCTGAAATTATCAAACTCCCGAGTCAGCTTGAAGGTTTCACATGCAGTTATATAAATATTACATAAGGCAGGTAATAGTTATAGCTATAGAGCGCCCTGATCTTCCTCTACTACCTTTGATTCAGAAACAACACTGAAGTTTGTAGGGCTTCTTCTGCCCATTTTTTAGAAGAGGAAACTTAGGCTCAGTTACTTGATAGTCACAGAACAGAACACAGATGCACAACTTGATGCTCTGAAGCTTACCCCTCTCTCCTCCCCTTCCCAGCTCTTTGGAGAGACAGATCTGCTGGATAATAGGCAGTAACCCAGCAGTGAATTCAAAAGGCATTTTACATTTCTTTTTTTTAATCCTCTTATTTATTTGTTTTGAATTTTTATTTTCATTGGTATGTGATTGCAGTACATACTGATCATATTCCTTGTGAGGAGTTAGTACATATACAGAACACATCTTAGTTCTTTATTTCGTCCCCTTCCCAGCCCCTTAATTTTGTATTTCATAAAATTGTGATGATTTTTTTTTCTTTTTGAGACAGGGTGTTGCTCTGTAGTTCAGGCTGACCTTGAACTCACTTTGTAGCCTCGGCTGGCCTTGACCTCACAGTGATCCTCCTGCCTCAGCCCCCAGAGTGCTGGCATCACAGGTGTGTGCCACCACACACAGCTGAGATGAATTTTTGAGGAAGCTTTCCTTATAAAGGCACAGAAATGAGGGCCCTCAGTTTATCCTATCAGGATGGAGTTAAAGCTGGGCATTGTGTGTATGTGTATATGAGGGGTGCTCTGTTCTGTCAGTCAGAAAACTATAAACAGCCTTTTTTAAGAGACCCTGTGCCTTCAATTCAGGCACCAGTGGTTATGCTGCTGTGGCTGCTGAAAGGATTTCCAGGCCACAAGGCAAAGAGGAGCATTCTTTCATGGATAACCTAAAAATAAACAGTTGGCAGGCTGTGTGGACATTTCTGATCTGGTGATTTACCGTGCATGCCTCAGTGATTTGCACCGGCCTGCATCCCATGTAGTTCCCCCATCTTATTTCTCATTTAGCTGAAACTTGGCCTGCAAAATCATTACAGAAGCATTTTGTAATGTGCAAAGTGACTTAAATCATTCAGCCCTTTCTTTTAAGATTTATTTTCAGAGTGTGTGTGTG